ATCCGCAAAATCATGATATGAAGTAGCATAGTGGGGGAGGTATTCTTGTAGCCGGGTAAACAGTGATGATGAGATTGAATTAATCTGGAGTCCCAGCAGAGATGCTTCTGCACAAGGCTATTGCCAGCCAATTCTAGGGTTGCCGGTTGTTGAAAGAAAATTGTACATTGAGGAGGGTCTAAGCAGATCTTAGTGGCTTTGGAGGAAGTTGGCAGGATGAATTGGAGTCCATAGTTGGATGTAAGTCTTCCTAGTTTGCACCCCTATGGTGATAGATGTCTACTTTCTTTAAGTAATTATGTGAAATTAATAATATGGTGTATCCATATGGATGGGTGTACCCATTAATGGATGAGCTAAATGGTGAGCTTTTCAACATTGCTGTGTGCAGACATGTCCACTGATGGGGTTTATGCATCACTTGCCATCTTGTGTATAAATACTGACATAATTTTTTAATGTCTTACAACATTTCAGTGCTATGTAGTTTAGCAAAATAAGATACACAGTTGCAAGGTGGGGGCAGATCTTTCCCACTCAGTCAATAAAATATAATAACCAGCTCCATTTAGAGGTAACAATTGCAGTGTTTATTATCCCTGAAGCAGGCAGATAGTAAACTCTAATTTGCTAGACCATCTTTGGGTGATTGGAAGTAAATCAGCAAGGGCTTCTGACTCCCAAGCATTTCACAGTGGCCCACTAAATTATGATGCTGAAATTAAGAAACGAGATGGGTGGGTAGATGGCAGGTAGCTAAGACTGGATGTTTGTATGGAAAAGCTCTGAGTTGCATTCAACTCTGGCAGATACAACCTATTTCCACGTTCAACATTCTTCTCGCTGACCTCTTGAGGTTATAAAGAGGAAAAAAGTAGATTTCACAAGCCAAAGGCAGAAGGCATGGACTTTCAGCTGGGGCACCATGTACAGCAGACTACCAAAAGAGAAGACTTGCTTTCCAGAAAAATGCAGCTGAGTGGCTGTAGATGATGCTTCTGCCTGTAGACATAGCAATGTCATGTCTAGTCCACGCTGGATGCCTTTCAAAATGGATGGTGAAATGAGATGAGCATTTAGAACAGCTGAAGTGCTATAGGGAGTCAGGACAGGGAGTCAAAAATACTGTCTGGGAATGCTGGGAGTTGCAGTCCAGCATGTCTGGTGAACACATGGTTGGGCTCTAAAGAATAAATTGTGAAGGATTATTGTAAACTGGCTAGAAAGTTGAGTGGTTAGTGGCATACCAAGTGAAATAAATACAAGTATTAATTTGCTTCAGGGGGTGCTGAGTAGGGGTGACTCTTCAGGGTTAAAATTATATCTTCCACCCCCTCAAGCTTCCCAGATCATTTAAAAAGGGGAAAAAAGATGAACCAAAATTGTTTCCTAGTTTGTGTACAATGTGCAAAGGCTGGAAACCAGGGAGGGAGGGAGGGAGGGAGGGAGG